TGGCTTGATTTGAAAGTAGAATATTGCGTAGATCAAAGCAAGATGAAATAAATTTTGCTAATTGAATATTAATATAATGATTTGAAGAATTCATAAGTTCGTCAATGGCTTGTAACGAAGATAATTGTTTAAAAGTCGGATTGATATGTTCTATTTTTTTATAAAATTCATTTCTTAGAATAGAGTATTTATTGCAATCTATAAAAAATGCGCTCCCGTGAGGTACGTGGCGGTTGTTTGCTATATGTATGATATGCATATTGAAAGAATTCCTACCCATTAGTACAGCTACACGTCTATTATATTATTTTACCATTGAGCGCGTTTTTTGTTTGTTTTTTTTTTTCTCATCTCTCTAAGATTACATCTCAGAAGCAAGTGAGAAGTTGTTCATTCCCCGCTGACGATTTTTAACAGTTTTTGCTTATATATTCGCTTCATAGACTCAATTATAACAAAGATAACACATGGGCAAAGAGATTGTATGCCAGTCAGATATTAAACTTATTCGTGTTGATTCGCCATTACCATAGCCACTTGCTGGTTATAGCAGAACATCCTTTTTGGAGTTGCCAGTCTTTTGCAATACGTATGGCATGCGCATTGAAAGCATTCCTACACGTTAACATAGCTACATTGACTAGCTAGCAAAAACACTGACTGTTCGGTGCCTTGATATTTTCTAATCTCCCCATGTTAAAAATTACGTGAGATGGTATTCCATTCCCTCTCACCGAACAGTTATTTACTCGCATATTTTTACTTCAATAAGGAACCCTGTTTTGTAGGCCAAAATGCCATGGTAACAAGGATTCGAGTCAGATTTAAAAGTCATTCTTGTTGACTCGCCAGTTGTTAGATACACCTGCTTGTTACAGAGTATGCTGGTTGGGATTCTTGTTACGTAAACTAAAACTGCTTGGCTAACTAAGTATAATTTTCCTTTTCATACAGAAACGCCAGTTGCCCTCTCTCTTTCGTTAAATTTCCGTCATTTCATTGTATTAAAATATCCTTTTCCATACAGCTCAATGATGTCAAGGATCCCTTTGGATGATCCTCCGACAAACCCAAAGCAAAGTTGGTTTGGGGTAGGAGATTAGGAGAATTCAATTTTGTTTGAAAGTCTTGAGTAAAGACATGGATTTTAACCCTCGGACGGACAAGCTAACTCATACTCCCACCGTGCTACCAGGGGGGATGAGTGCAAACCCCAACCCCTCCCCCCACAAAATTTCAGCGAAGGATGAATGAACAGCTACTGAAAGTTTCAACCCCTTAGAGTAAATCGTCTTTTCAAAACTTTGAAAAAAACCTTATTGGAGGTGAGCATTCCCCCTTTGTACGTCGGAGGATTTAGGTTAATTCCCACCTTTGTGGGTGTCCTTCGGGAAAAAATTCAAACGCGCGCCAGTTTAAAAAAACAAACAGCAAACTATATATCAGAAGAAAGTTTACTAAATGTAGTTTACGATAATTTAAGCGAAGTTTTTTACGAAGTGTCAGGAGCCACTAAGGCGTGAAACGACTGAGGGTTCTCCTATTGAATATATCGGCTATCTGATGCCTTATGAAACGGCAAACCAATAGAACAACAGGTCCTCCAAGCGTCAAAGACAATAGATTAGGAAAAGCATCGCATTGCAACACGTTTAATTTCTATCTCGCTGTCGCATTGAAGAGAAAAACACTAAAACGGGCAAAGTAGCCAAAGGATAAAGAGCAAATTCGCGATATAAACATTATCCAATAACATGATGTACGAGCTCCAAGATGAGCGTTTGCCGCGAAAATTTCAGGCCCTGGCGGTTTCGTCCATTTAATCGATTATGACACGTCACCTTCCTGATTTATTAACTTTATTTGAAAATACGCATTTTCTAAATAACTCGGCCGCTTTTTGAGAATTTTAATATTTTTCTTTTGTAAACTTTAGATAAAATGACCGACTTAAATTTTGTCAAATAAACGAAAAAACGATTTTATTGTGCCTTTGAAGGTGGAAAGTAACCTTAAGCTTCTAGATGTACCTAAATGTTGTAAATAGCTTTCTTAGGTTTCAGTTAACAAACCTTCCAGTAGTTGAAGGTATTTACTTCCCTTTTTTCTCCACTTTTGTTACAATAACTAAACGGTTGTATGTGATAAGTTCATGTTCGTTGATTTCGCTTAATTCCTTTTCCAGTTGTTTTACACTCTCCTCGATTTGCTCATCCGTTAGATGGTTTAACTCACTCGAATAACGCCTTCGTAGCGAGTCACACAAATTGAATTTTGTCATCGCCTTCGTAAATGTGACCTTCAAATACGGGCACAGTCAATTTCTCTGAGTAGTTTCTGACTCACGCTTACTACATCAAATTGGATGTCCATCCTTCATTGTTATAAACTAAAGAATAATCCCACCGGGACTAAGAGAGCGTATTATGCCCTTGTATACATCAACCGGGTCAGCAAAGTGATGTACGCTGAAAACTGCAACGACTCTATCAAAGCACTGGTTTCGGATCTGAAAAAAAATTCTTCCGCCGTTTTTTGAACGGGGTAAGTTCCTTTCCTTTTGCGGGCTCAGTACTTCTTGCATCTCAGCGCTGGGATCCACGCACCAAAATTAACAGGGTTTTTTAGGGCGAACAATTCAAAGATATTTTCAGCAATAAAGCCGTTTCCACTATCAATGTCCGCAACAATGTGGTGCGGCTTCGAAAGAGGCACCGCACAATTCTAGAAAATATCAGAGAATACCCCTCGGTGTGTAGTGGAATCATGGGACAACAACGTCACGTGACACAAACACATGGAAGAACGCGGAGCGAACGAACCGAGTCAGCACTTTCTAGATCACTGTTTATTGTCCTTGTTCACTCATAAAGTGTTGCGTTACGACATTCTCGTCTCTTTCCTTTGTTAATTCCCCACAATACGTCTACAGGGGGAGGGGGAGGGGAGGGGGTGGGTTTGGCTTTCTTGTGAAAGCACAAACTCAACTGAAAACAATTGTAATCCCAAAGGCTTTGTTAGCTGGAGCGTGAATTCAAGTGACTAATAACCAGACGGGCCCCTATCAACAAGAAATACCCCATTTTATTATTGATTTCTATGCTTTCAATATTATTTTCTCATGCTTGCTTTGCAGGTTAATAAATACGTAAACGAGTATACATTGATTGAAAATACAGACAAACCTTCATCCACTTTCTCAGCCAGTCCCTTAAGGTTACCGTACACCTTAAGAGGTGTCTCACGTCCAAGCGATGTAGCGCGTTCGGTTTAAACTGTAGATACCTAAACCCCTATA